CCAAACCCTGCCAGAAGGGTCTGTCCCGGCCACCTCCACCCCTCTTACTGCCCCACGGCTAAACTGGGTCCCCCAGGTCTAACCCCACCTTCCCCGAGGGGTCCTAGACGGGAGGTGGATGCAGGAGGAGTTCCCAGCCACCCCAGGACACCACCGACCACCCCACAGGTGAGCTGCATGCACCAAGACAAAAACAGCCCTTTGGGTTGGTTTGGTTTTACCTCAGTATGTTTATTTTGGTTATGTATTACCCAGATTAGAAGGAGAAAAAACCCAGGAGTTGAACAGCAGCTTCCCAGGACCACCACAGTGTGCCTGGCCGGGGCACCCCAGGACAGAGGGTCCCCATACACCCAGCAGCCTTCTTGCCACCCAACGGCTACTGCAGAAGGCACTGCCAAGCTCAGGGAGCCTCCAGCCCCAGCCTGGCACCCCACGGCCCCCAAAGCACTGCCCACACAGGGCACCGCCCTGAGAGTGGCAGAAGGGCCCTGTGCCCCCTCCGATCCCTCCCCAGGAGGAGGAAAAAAAATAAATACAGGGGAAAAAAATACAAAAAAGTTTATTGCAAACTACTACAATAATTTATTGAAGCAAACTGCATGCGAGTGAAGGAGAGACATCGAGGGGAGGAGGAGCTGCAGGAGGGCTGTGTCAGTTTTAGGGCTTAAAGGGGCGTGGGGAGGGAGCTACACGTCTCTCCTGCGTCAGGGCGAGCAGGCTGTGGTTAGAGGACAGACAGGCACCTGGCTGCAGCCAGAAAAAGAAAAGGGAGAGCTACAAGAGGTGTCATGGAAGGACAACGTGGGGAGCAGCAGGGATCAGAGGTGTCTGGGCTGGGAAGCAAAGGAGATGTTTGATTTGCATCCCAGAAACACGGCCAGTGGCCAACCCTGTTCTGCTCGGGGTGGGCACAGGCCGAGGCAGCCTCCCTCACCCGCCAGCCAGGTGCCAAGAACTGTGTCACCAAAGGTGAGCAAGCCCTTGACCCAAAAGCATTTAGTGCCACCCCTCGACCAACAATGCCCTGAGCTCTCCACTTAGTGTTCTGTGCAAGGCTCTGCCCACCCTGCAGCTCCCACAGGCACAGGGCCTGGCAGAGCAGCAGCTCCAACAGCAGGGGCTG